AACAAATATAAAGAGATGGCAAAATAAGATATGCAGGCCTCGTCAATTCCTGAGAGGATGGGCGAAGAATTTAAGTGGTGCGTATAAAAAAGAGAAAGCTCGACTTATAGCAAAGGCAGATGAGTTGGACAAATTAGCTGAGACCAGGATCTTGACTAGTCAAGAACTGGATCTAAAAAATTCCTGTAAAAATGCCTTAGCCCAGTTGTTAAGAGAAGAAGAAGTTAAATGGTATCAAAGAGCAAAAACAAAAAGAATAGTAGAAGGAGATAGGAACACCAAGTACTACCATATGATCGCGAATGGAAAACACAGAAAGACAAAGATTTTTCAATTAGAACAAGAAGAAGGGGTGACTAAGGGAGATGCACAACTCAAGAAATATGTCACCAATTATTATAGGGGTCTTTTTGGAGCTCTGGATGGAAATTGTTTCTCCATGTGTGAATCTCAAAAGGATGATATCCCTCAAGTGTCAATGGAGGAAAATACTTTCTTAACAAAAGAATTTACACAAGAAGAAGTGAAACATGCTGTTTTCCAAATGGAACATAACAAAGCTCTGGGGCCTGATGGTTTCCCAGCGGAGTTCTATCAAGTGTTCTGGGAAGTAATTAAAGAAGACTTAATGGATGTCTTTAGAGATTTTCACAGTGGCGAGTTACCCCTACATAGACTGAATTTTGGTATCATTACCTTGCTTCCGAAGAATAAAGAGGCAAAACAGATCCAACAATATAGACCCATTTGCTTACTTAATGTAAGCTTCAAGGTATTCACAAAGGTCATGGCAAACAGAATTGCTCTAGTAGCACAGAAAGTCATAAGACCTTCGCAAACTGCTTTTTTAAAAGGTAGAAATATTATGGAAGGGGCCATAATTCTCCATGAGACATTGCATGAGATGCATAAGAAAAAGTCAAATGGAGTTATTCTGAAACTCGATTTCGAGAAAGCTTGTGATAAGGTAAATTGGAATTTTCTTCAACAAGCGTTGAGAATGAAAGGTTTCTCGGACATTTGGTGCAAGTGGATTGATCAAGTTGTGTCGGGGGGTAGTGTAGCTGTGAAGGTTAACGATGAGATAGGCCACTTTTTCTAGACGAAAAAGGGTTTGAGACAGGGAGATCCCCTCTCACCAATTTTATTTAATTTGGTAGCGGATATGCTTGCCATTCTCATCAATAGGGTTCGAGACCTTGAGACTCTAAATGGAGTAATTCCTCACTTGGTAGACAATGGTCTCTCAATCTTGCAATATGCAGATGATACCATCTTGTTTATGGACCATGATTTGGTTAAAGCCAAGAACCTAAAATTGGTACTAGCTGCCTTTGAAAGGTTATCGGGTTTGAAAATTAATTTTCATAAAAGTGAGATGTTTTATTTTGGGAAAGCTAAGGAGGTGGAAAAGGATTACACCACTTTGTTTGGTTGTAAGATGGGTACTTTTCCATTCAGATACCTAGGCCTTCCTATGCATTTCAAAAGACTGTCAAACTAAGATTGGAAGGGTCTAGAAGATAAATTCCAGAAGAAACTCAATTGTTGGAAATGCAAGTTTTTATCGTCAGGAGGAAGGCTGGTGCTCATTAATTCAGTGTTGAGTAGTTTGGCAACATTCATGCTTTCTTTCTTTGAAATCCCTAAAGGAATTTTAAAGAAGCTGGATTTTTACAGATCCATATTTTTTTGGCAATGTGATGAGCACAAAAAGAAGTATAGGTTAGCTAAATGGAGTGTGTTGTGCAGACCTAAGGAATGTGGGGGGTTGGGAATCCAAAACCTAGAAATGCAGAACAAGTGTATGCTTAGTAAATGGATTTTCAGGTTGATCAATGAAGACGGAATTTGGCAAAGTTTGCTTAGGAAAAAATATTTGACAAAGAAAACCATTTTGCAAGTCCAAAAAAGACCAGGGGACTCACATTTTTGAGCTAGTCTCATGTTAGCCAAAGAGTCTTTTCAAAGGTTTGGTTCCTTCTTATTACAAGATGGCTCACAAGTAAGATTTTGGGAGGATTGTTGGATAGGAGTTCAATCCTTTGAGAAGGAGTATCCTAACCTCTACAATCTAGTTAGAAACAAAAATGAGGTGGTGGCCAAGGTAATGAGTGGAATACCATTAAATGTGTCTTTCAGAAGATCAATAGTGGGAAGAAACTTGGAAGCCTGGTATGAGCTAGTGTTGAAAGTTGTTAACACTGTATTGACAGATCAGAAAGATCGCTTCTTTTGGAAAAACAATAAAGAAGGCATTTTCACAGTAAAATCTATGTACAAGTTGCTCATGTATGAAGGGCTGGTTTGTAGGAAGAATTTCATTTGGAAGCTCAAAATTCCACTCAAAATCAAAATTTTCTTGTGGTACCTCAAGGAAGGGGTAATTCTCACTAAGGATAATCTAGCAAAGAGAAGGTGGAATTGTAGCCTAAGTTGCTGTTTTTGTAACTCTAAGGAAACAATACAACACCTTTTATTTGATTGCTCAATGGCTAGGTATATTTGGAGTGCGCTCCTTTTTACATTTGGGATTAGGCTACTGTGTAGCATGTCTCAAATGTTTGGGAATTGGCTGAATTGTGTTGAACCTAGGCTCAAGAGAATATTGTTTGTGGGCATAGCTGCATTTCTTTGGGCAATTTGGTTATATAGGAATGATGTGGTTTTTAATGGCTCCAATCCTACATCTTTCTTGCAGGTCATTTTCATGGGAACACATTGGGCAAGGACTTGGTCTTTGCTTCTTAAGGGAACCGATGAAGAAATAGTTAAGAACTATTGCAAAGTGCTGGAGAAGCGTGTGGTGGAATTCTTCTCCGTGTATGGCTGGAACCTTAGAAGAAGATTGGAAGCCTAGTCTTTTCTTCGTTTGTTGTTCTTAAAACACCTTTGGGCTGTCATCTCTTATGTAATGGGAGAGGTCAGTTGATGCATTTTGTACCCTTTTATTAGGGAGAGTCTTATGTACTCGTGTTCGGATTTTTGGCTGTGTACACCCCACAAAGGTGTAGAGGCCGGGTTTGATAATCCTTTATCTAAAAAAAATAAACAGATTTTTTTAGATGGAATTTACATAATCTCTTGGTGATGCTCTTAGGCTCATCTTTTAATGGGCTATTGAATTGGTTTGGATTGTACCTATACTTTCTCATACAGATTAATTAGGCGGTTTGTACTCCATTTGGATGTATCTTTTATGGACAATAATCCTATAGTTCTTACTGGCACATGAGGGAATTGACAAACCCGCTTTCCAAAAAGATACCTTTATGAGCAGCACATCAAGCTAAAAACCGAACTAGCCACATAATTCATTTCTCAACGTGCTCTAAACCGAACTAGCCTATTTCACACTTATGCATTCAGTTTATGTTATCCAATCTATTGTCACCCATTCGAATCCACCTCAACTACTCAAGCATTTGGCCCCTTGACGTATCAGTCATAGTCATCTTCTAAAACAAATAACCATCAAGGACTCAAGAACCATGTGGAGGCTCGAGGATGGTGTCATGCATCGGTAGCGTTGAGGTCGGTAGCCTAGTAGCTGCGGGCCTGCGACACGAGGTTGTTGCCTTGATGGTGTGGTAATAGGTTAAAGTTGGGAGTCCACATGAAGACATCAAGGACAATAGCCTAGCAGTACGTGCACAAATCATCAACCCATCCCATACTCACTAGTAGCAAAAGAGGTGTTGCGGTGGCAATGGTTGGGCCATCAATGCGGCATCGCGCAGTGGCAGTAGACGGGAACGACGCAACCTTATCATGTTGTCGGCAAGGAGAAAGTGTAAGTAAAAAGTATATAGACTTGTTGCTTCTTCATCCATCAAGAAAGCTCAACTGTTGCATGACTAGTCAACCTGCTATGGAAATAGAGTTTACCAATGCCATGTTTGATAGAGCTCCTGCTCCAGCTTCAACTCTCCTAGAGCCAAAGCTCAACTAAATAATTTTAGGTCTACCTGAAATGGGAGTGGAGTGGGCTAAAGTGCTTTCACAAAATTAACTAGAGAGATTGATCTAGGTTACTATTCCATACTTCACTCTAGACACAACTCTTGAAGATAAAATTAGTAGTTGGGGCCCTACAAAATAAGCCCCTGGAGTCCATCATGGCTCCATATTCCATTAGAGGATGCTAAATGTAGCACTAGTCTGCACGATTAGGGATCTTTTTGCACAACAGTGATTAATCTTGCTAAGATGATGTCCAATTCTCCTTCAAATGCTTTGTCTGGTTTCCAATTATTGTCTGGAATGCCTCCAACTTACCATGCCCGCTCTATCTCATTGGCATGCAATTTCCTAGCTTCAATCACTCTGTTGCTCCTATACAAGCATGCTAAGAACCCCATTGCACACTACTAGGAAATGGACTTATCGCCACAAAAAAAATTGCATTAGCGCAAATATCATGGTAACAACGCTGTGACATGGTATCTGACGTTAAATAGCGATCTTTCCCCACAGATATCTGACACGAATTCTGTGACATGGTGTAGTGAGCTATATATTGCTATGATTTCGAAATCGTTGCTAGCCATGGTAATAATCCCCGTGGTATTAGATTATTGCTACAATTTTAATTTTGTGGTAACAAAAATGTAAATTGCACAAAATAATCGAGGCAATAAACATTATTGCCACAATATTAATGTGTGGCGTTATCTTTTTCTCATATTGCCACGAAATATATGATGTGTAACATCCCGGGTTTTAGCTATAGTTTTAGTCACGCTAATGACTTGATCACACTGGCTGAGAGCGGTGTTGATTGAGCCACGATGCTGGCTAGGACCTATAATATGCTGATTGTTGTTTTATTATGGATCTTAAATGATTTTTTTGATTGTTTTCTGGTCATTTATTTATCAAGTCATATCCATATGCATCATTGATTTATTGTTAGTTACCTAGTGAGAAGTGGGATAATTTAGTTTTGGTTAAACTATATTGTAGATTAGTTGTCACGAAGCGAGGTACACATGTGCACAGTAGAAATCATAGTTCTTTATTTACAATTTACTACTACACGTCTGCATACATACATGCATATAATTGTACACTAGAAATCTTATATAGTATGCATTTCATATATTGTACAAATACATTAGCCGAGAACATATCGTGTAATTAGTAATATTTCAAAAAGGGACCGTGCGTTATAGAATAAATTAAAAGTCAGTCCCTAAACTAATAGTAACCTCCAATTTTACCAGACTTGAGGAACTCATGTGCAAAAGTATCAAACATATCATACTTTACCAGATTTTCCATTTAAACTGAAAATTAGTAAAATTCTATCCATCATTCCACCGAGCATGCATTGCTTAGGTGTCAAGCTTAGCTGCAGACAACCAGCCCCAAGTAGGTGAGTCACTTAAGGAAGACCAAGATGACTACTGCAGTGTGAACTCATTCCTCCCCAAGCTATTGTATCGTAGAGACCGAGGTCAGCAGTAGCCACAGCAATAGTACCACCAATTTCTACTGCAAAGAACAATAGCAGCAGCTGCCGCAACAGCAGTCACCAACATCAGTTCGGTTGGGGATTCTGCTCAAGTCAAAGAGGAATAATCACAGCTAGCAGATCACTAGTTCAACATCTCACCCATGCATCACCACAGCCGTAGCAACCTTGTGTGTGCAACCAGGGGAGGCTAGGGTGAGTGAATGAGAGGTCAGATTAGTAGTAGAGGAGTAGTAACCAGTAGCAGCTCAAGCAAGATGGAGCAGCAATCAAGCAAGAGGATCAACTCCAGGAAGAGCAAGGAAAGTAGCAGATCCAGATGCCAATTAAGATTTTCACATATCTTACCATATAAACCAAAGTAGCAAGAAGATGCTGAAGTGAAGGAGCAAGTGGTGTTCCAGCAGTCCAGCTCAAGAAGAAGTGTCCAAATACTTCAGTTTCTGGAGGAGTAGCTGGTGCTTTAGCAAGGAGGAGAAATATTCAAGAGCTTCAGTTCCAGTAAGGGAGTGAAGCTACAGTCCCAACATGAGAAATCACACAACCTTCACAGCCACACTAGAGTCATTAACAAGGTAATCCTAAGATTAAAATGAAACTAAAACCATATCATGGCATGATTTTTATGTGATGCATTTTACTAGTTTGTATAGGAGCTATGTGTTGCTTTTGCATCCACTAAACGATGAACAAGTGCATCCCTGATCCAGTAAAAATGTTCATATTAATAATTTGAGCTGCAGAGTAGGAAGTGTAACTAGTAGGACATAAATATTTTTATTTTAACTGATAGGTAAATAGGTTAATTCTAGTTTATAATTATTTGGGGTTAGCAACAAGAAACATTTTAGTTTGTCTAGAATCATTATGTAAATGCATTTAGGTAAACAGCTGCATGTGCATCTGTTTGGTGAATCCTGAAATTATAAATAGTTAGAATTTAGTTATAACTTAAATAAAATAACCTTCAGTACTGAACAAAGGTTCACCTAATCTCACTTGTTCAGGTTTATGTCAAGTAAAATATATGCAGTGTGTCATAGTAGGTCGGTAAAGGAAATCTAATTGAATCGTTAGAATTAATGAACAGAGTTATAGGCCTCTATAGCAGAGCATATAGAGCAAATGATTCTAGAAGAGCATGACATCAAAGTCAGATTGTAGTATTTCCATCGCTAAGACCAACACCATAGGAGCATCATTTGCCTGTTATTTTAGTAATCAAAATGCTTTGAAAGCCAGATCAAGATTCATTGTTGTAGGTCATTTGATCACTTTATTCATACTACCATAATGCATCATGTATGTAGGAATTCATATTAATTTCCTGTATTATGCTCTGAATAGTAGCATAAGGATTTGATCATGCTAATGTGTTACCATTATAGAATTTTAGTCAGTTCAGTAAACATTTATATAAGGATTTAATTAGACTAATGTGCATTAATATCAGGACTTGACCCTACTATTCATGCAAAAATATTACCCATAGTATGTGGGAAAAAATTTAAATGTTAGAATCAGACTTTGATTTAGAATTTACCCTGAACAGAGTATGCAGGTAGATCATCTATTATCTAGTCAACATCAAGGCACATTTTAAATTGGTCAGAAACATCATAGAAATAAATGCATATGAGTTGAATACTGTACATGTATTTGGTTAATAGAGATAAGAAGAACCTATTAGATTGATTATGAATACATAAATTGGTATATGGTGACAGTAGTAGTTCATATTTAATCAAGTGACCATAGGAGGACATGCAGCAGAAACATTCTGTAGGAAATTATGCTGAGCACCTAAAGCTTATTAGAATGTATATCTTAACAATAGAGCATGTAAGGAATTTGTTCAGAGCATAGCATGACAAATACTAGTATGTACAGATGATGAGTAATATAAAGTTTATCCAACCATTAATTTCATCTCATGAGTAATGTAGGTGTAACAATATCAAAGATTAATACTCTCATATAGTGTGATGCTAGCAGTATGTGGTATTTATACGATTAATACTAGTAATATGCCCGTGCTAACACTACGATAACTGATAATGCAAATCAAACAACTGAAAGACGATACGTTTCATAAAGACATGAAAACAAGCATCCGCCCCTCAGATATATTATTATGGCCCTGTTTAGATTCCAACTTTTTTCTTCAAACTTCCAACTTTTCCATCACATCGGACTTTACTACACACAAACTTCTAAATTTTCCGTCATATCGTTCCAATTTCTTCAAACTTCCAATTTTAGCGTGGAACTAAACACAGCCTATGGAGCACAACCAACAGCTAGCAATGCGTAGTTCTGGATTTGGAAGCTTTACATCATGTTTTACACAAAGAAACGGTTTCATAACCAGGTTCCTTTCTCCCAAAGGCTCTGATGTGACAGTTAAAATATTGGGCTCACAAGGTTGTTTTTCATCTACTGTACTCTTCATATGTTCCACTTTGGACATTCAAAAGTTCAGAGGAAGTATTTTAACCGATGTTTCTTTCCAAGCCTTCCTCACCGTACAAATTCATTACATTGCTTCAGTTCACTCCATTCCTCCTTCAGCAGCAAAGCTTGATGCCACCTGTATTTCAAAGTCTCACGTGATATTAACAAGTTTAATTCTAATATACAGTTAAGGTTTTTCAGTTTTGTATTAGCAAGATTTACGTTCTTGTATGTTTCCGAATACTAAATTAAACAGTATGGAATATATCACCTGTTTCTTTGCTTCTTTCAAATATGTTGTGTTTAGTGGCAGTATGCCAGTTTGATCACCTCGTCCTTCTCTGTCATCTTTGGAGTAAAACAAATAAAATTAAAAAAATGTAAGAAACAAACAAGAAAAGAAAACAGCATCCGGATTGAAAGTTTAATGCCCATGCCAACGATGCAGAAATGGAATGATATATTATAGAATTACTGACCAGTGAAGTGCATTTGCACCCATCCTATTTTGCTAAGAGTATTTCCACTCTAGACTTGTAAGGAAAAGCACAAGCCAAATATATTTTTCAGGAGACAAAAAGTGGCATTCACTTGGTCACTAATCAAAAGATGAAATATTTATCATTACTCTGGGAAATTGAATTGCATAATTCAGAATCTCTAGAGGTAGTAAACAACTCCAGCAACTCTGAATTGATCAAGAGGCTTAGCTGTATCCATGCCGATACATAGCAATTCAATTAACTCTTTTAAACCTCAGCCAACATATGTTTTCTTGTTTGACTTATTCCCCTTTAGACAAAGCATCAACATTGCCAATCTAACCATGTACCAACAAAAATAGTGGGGAACAAATTAGCAAAGATAATATGACTTCTTTGATAGGGAAGGAAGCAAGGGGAGATTCTAGAGAAATTTAAGTACTTGCCCATAACGTGTCAGCTTTCTATTAAAACTGTGCCTTTGAGCCTTTTGTCTAAGAGGTACTTGCTCATAGCATCTGCTACCATGTAACTAAACCTAAAAATAAATTGAGCAATCGGATGACACATACATCACTGGGAGAAGACAACAAAAGAGCATTCATACCTAAAATAAAAGCCGCAATGGTCAGCAAGTTGGCTGCAAGATGATGCCGCTTCTATTATGCAGCTATCCGAGTGGAACTGAATGAATAGGAGACAGAGGAAAGGGATTAGAACTTGCTGACAGCAACTTGCAGTAATCCACAATATTGTTGAGGCACATTTCCACAAAACAATAATTTTCTAGAATATTGTCTGAATCTTGTCATATACAGAAATGAAAATTGACTATGAAAAACATGTGCCAATATTTCCGTACAACACATTGGATAAAGGTTTGACAATAATCATAAAAAAAAAGAACAGAAAAGAGGAAGAAAGCCTTTCTCAGATTCTGCAGTTTTACAAATATGTTAACTCACTGGTGTAAATGGTATGTACAACAAACAATGAGCACAGATAAGTTAATCCTAGAGTGAAAAAAAAAACATGAGCTTCACCCCTTGTCATCAAATGAGATTTTGTTGTTAGAAAAGAAAAGCCAATAAAATTATAGAATTATAATGAATATTTTAAAATTAAATGTACTATTTTTGTAATAAATTCACTTAAGCACCGGGATAAGAAGAAATTTAGCAATCAACAGCACCAGGGCATACAACACAAGAAGGGACATTAACAATGTAAATTTCAGACGATTCAGCTTTTGATTTCCTTTAAAACTTTACAAAGAAGATGGCAGCATTTTGATGATCGCATTTGGAGGTATCCATGGACATCCTGTGCTATATTTTGAAATTTGTAGAGAAAAATGGTTTCATCTTTATACCTTTGACAGTACAGAAGTGTTGATATCCACTTGCATTTGCAATGTAATTGCAACTCAGTATTTCTTCGTTGACCCCAATTGCAAACAGATGTGTGTTACCTAGAAGAACCAATTGCTTCAGTATGCAGTAGGTAAGCACATAATTCCAGGATAAGTACAAGAGAGCTAAACCATACTGTCTCTAATTCCAGGATTTTATCATCCTTAGAGCCCCAGTAAAAGGTTGTCAGGAAAATACCAAAGACATGGTGCCTTCTATTTTCTCCTAAGCTGCATAAAAGCCAACAAGAAAATACTTACGAGCTATCAAAGAACAGTGATCTTTTCCAACAGCTATATACTTCCCTGAAAATAAGTGGCAAGAAATAGACATTATTAGTCCATCAGAACATGAAATACCTTCTTAACATTCTAGTTAAAGTGGTCTCTCTCCTCGCTGCAAAGAAACACTCAGCAGCGAAAGTGAGCAGCAGCACGGCACAGCCCAGCAGCTCAGATATCACTGTAGATTGATTTTTTTTTTCCGATGGAAAATCACATGAATTGTTCAGTATTTACAGCGAATGTAATTAAATATACGAGATAGACTCAATTTTCTATGGGGAAAATCAGCATGGGGTGCCTCGACACTGAATGAACATGCAGCTACATCTATAATTTTTTTTAGAATTCTTCATGTACATAGGTTGAATATGAAATAATACTTCAGAGCTACTGTTACCATGTGCCTGCTTCATCACTTCCAAATCTTTCGATCAGCTGACACATGAGCTGTAGAACAAACAATGAAATATATCGCCATGAAAGTATAGACCTTGAAACTTCACTTGTCTCACCATATTGCGTGCAAATAATGTGAATTAAGTTGACCATACTGAGTGGTAGTAAACAAAGGTCCAATACTGGTTATTGGAACAAACAGTGTCTCAAAGTTCTTTCAACTCTAACATCTTGTGGGATTGGCACCTGACCTCTGGGGATTGTCTTGATTAATTGCAACTTACCGGGGATGGAAGATGCAGGGACAGAGCGCTGGTGCTGGAAGCGATGCACCTCTGGTTCCTTCCCGGCTGTCGTGGTGCCGGTTCCAACGGCGAGCGGCGACGATCGGGGCGCAGCGTCGGGATTGAGAAGGTTGTGCGATTCCTATGTCTGGCCGCGCGAGATCCCGTGCAAAGCTGCGCTGACAGGGGCGCTCCACCAGCCGGCCTTCATCACTGCTATGGCGGATAGCTATCGGCCTACTTCGCTGGGCTCGTCGCTCTACACCGAGTCCCGACCTCCTTTGCCGCTCTCCTTGTGAACAAACGGCGACGCTGATCGGCGACAGACGATGTGGGTCAGTGGTTGTAGGGTTTTAGGATACGATGGGCTGCAGGGAATCGACGGGGGCGTTTGAGGGTGAGAAGGGAGGAGATCACCGATGGAGAGGCCCGGGCGACGGGGAAGGGGAACACGCAGGTGGCCTGACGACTGATGGGATGGGGACGCGGCTCTGTGCGGCGAGGTTGGTGTTTGGCGGAGGAGGACGATCGGCGGCTCCCGTCGATCCGGCAGTGGCGCAGGTGGAGGTGCTGCCGTCGGCGGGGGAGCGGGGAAGGGGGGAAGCGGGAGGGAAGGGGCGTGATGGGTGTGTGCGCGGGTCGGCGGCTGACGGGATAGGGGCGCCGCGATGTGCGGAGGTAAAGGAGAAAGAGGAGGCGATTGATTTGCGTCAGCGTGGAAAGAAACCGATTGATGACCCCGCCGTGCGTGCGTGCCATTCCCCTCCCACTGCGTGACCCCGCGTGCACCGCTATCGTTGGATCGGATGATTTTCATCCGTTGGATTTGATGAATAAGTACGTAGATGTAAGAGTGAGTTGGTGAATTATATGGTAGAAGATAGATAGATGAATAGTGAGTGTATTGATACATCTTGAGTTTAATGCAGATTTATAAGCAGAACTAGTAGATCTCTATAGCAAATCATCTAGAAAAAAAACAGAGCAATTTAGAGTAAAGCAGTCATTAGACCATTCAGAGAAATCAATTACCATATGCTTGTTTCTTGATAAAAGTTTAGTAATCAATAATCTAGAATGTCCATGGTTATATAAGTTTTCATCCATATAGATAAATATAGTGTTAAAGCGAAGCTTCATAAGGACCTGATCATGATAGTGTGTTGTTGACTCTAGTATTTAATTTACTGAATGCATGTATATATAAGGAACGATCATGTTAGAGTGATTTCAAATTTTAGTATTACATTTTCATATGATGGTTTCTGGAAGCAGGCATTCATTCATAAGCATATTGGCATAATTCAGTCATATTAAGTTAATTGATCAAGTACTTCCACCGTTTCACAATGTAAGTCATTTTAGTATTTTCCACATTCATATTAATGTATGTCTAGATTCATTAACATTAATATAAATGTAAAAAATGCTAAAATGACTTACATTGTGAAACGGAGGGAGTATTTCTATTAAGCGATCAGCAGAGCGTTCCATGATTCCATGAATATTCATATGTTGACCAATAGGACCTTTCTAATGGGTGGCAGTGACCTGTTACTGTTGTACACCAAGCTTATCATAGTGCATTTCATTAGCATCTGTACTCTTTGTATTTAGTTTTGTTTCATCGTTTATTTCATTTGGTTATTATCTCGGATTTCTTGGAGTTCTTATTGGCTTATTATTTCTTCGATTTCGGGTATCTCAGGCAAGTCTAACATCTTTGAACATCTCTTGTTATATTTTCGTAATTGCAATCTATATGTATCACATTGCATTAAATTATACTTTCTATAATTAAAATAAATATGCTGATGACTTGGATTGACTGGTGGAGCAGTCGGTCATATTATAGGTGTATTTTGAACTTGCCATGGTGATGGGGGTCATATTATAGGTGTATTTTGAACTTGCCATGGTGGTGGGGGTTCAGTTGCATATATTTATCATCATAAGGTTAAACAACAAATGTTATATGGCATTCAAGCGCCGTAGCGATCATGTCGATCACATGACCTGGAATGGGACAGGCTAGCTTAGTAGTTCTTTCTTAATGGCTTTATCATGCGGACTTAAGGACTTCCGCGAATCCCGTGAGCGTGGTCTAGTGATGAGGGTTGCCGTTGTTGCAAGATCCAATGATTCGCCGTTGTTGCGGGAATCACCCATAGAGATAATTGACACATGGGATTGATGAAAAGCTTGTGACCTTAACCTTGCCGGTATACACCATAAAGTGTGCTTCAAGCGCCGACGGGCATAGGCATTAAAAGGTTTAAGGCGTCTGTGGGTACAACAACACACCTCTGCAGAGTGTATGAATTGTGATATGTCACTCCCTGTTTCGGGTAGAAACTGCGACCGCGGCAGGAAATGAACCTATTGGAGGTTCTAATACCTGTGGTGCCTTATACGCGGTAGATTTTATAATTACTTAATATGAGCTTTTACTACACTTTTTTTTGAACATGCATAAAATTCCTTGTTGGATTATGGGATTTGGAGATATATGTATTATGCAGGTGGATTATGGGCATATATTTGTTGGATTGCTATAGTTGGACTTGTTGAGTACCATTCGTACTCATCCCCTATATATATTATTCCTTGTAGTGTTGAGCTAACAATTATAACAATTAGGTGAAGAGAAGATTCTACAAAATTGATCAAGTGTTGCATATTTCTACATCAACTTATTGTTGATGGTGATGAAGATCTAGAAGAGCAAGGTATTGTTAGTGTTATTATTTTGGTAAAAACTAATTTCTTATGGGTTTTATTTAATGGGTTTCGTTACAATTGTTTCTGCTATGCTACTCTGGTGTGCCCATTTCTTGGTAAGTTGATTCTTACTAAGGAATGAGCCGTAGACCGGTATTCTATCTTGGAAGTGGAATACGAGGGTCACTACATGGTGGCGATATTTATTTTCCATCATAAAAAAATTCTAGTTCTATTATTAGATTGTAGATCATTATCACATAAGTAATATTTGAGACAACTAGAAATTAATTAATCATTGTATTCATGAGCATGAACAAGAATAATGATTGAATCATTGTCACCAGCTATTACATATTCAATTTACAGATATATTTGAACTCATCACAAAATTTTGTAAGTAGCATACACTGAAAGAAAATCCAAAAACTACATGTTCTCATGGTGAACTCCATGGATACATCAACTGCTCTTAAGTTGATAAACTTATCATCTTCATTAGTATTGTTTGCCTTGTTAGGGTGTGTAATGTGTTTAGGTCACGCCAAAATTGGAAATTTGGTTGAAATTGGAACGATGTGACGGAAAAGTTGGAAGTTTGTGTGTGTAGGAAAGTTTTGATGTGGTGGAAAAGTTAAAAGTTTGAAGAAATAGTTTGGAACTAAATTTGGCAATCACTTCTTCAAAAAAGACTTAATTGAGTCAACCCGTCCATTAAATTGACTGACTCACTCAAATCATCCATCCTGGAGTAAAACGTGGTCAAATTAAAATGCACAAGTTATATGAAGGAACATATTAAATTATTTATTAACAACCAACATAACTGTTGGTATTTCTTATGACCACAGATAAATCCGCAAGCTCACAGAATACCGATGTAGAACTTTACCTCTGGGTGACCCCTAAAGGATATCGAACTCAGGGAACGTGTGTAATCTATCTAAGGCTAAGACGATTCAAGGACAACAACTATAGGTAGGCAAGCAAGAGAGGACTTTCTATGTGCTTTAATTATCTAAGCTAAGCTAAAGGTAAATTCCTATCTGTTGCTTCGGGCACCGACCCCTGCTAGTCTGCTAGCGTGGTTCCGGCTATAGCTCTATGATGTATCCGAACGTGGAGGATTACTAGGATGGAATTCAGGATGTCACCACCTGCCGCCTACCTCTGACTAATCCGTGGGATACACAACAAACAAGGTAATCTCTAACCTATACACCACGTCTAAGTTATTAATTACTACTCTAATACTCGCGCAGGAACTTCCTTCTCTATCCGGAGTCCTAGTACTAGAACACTTAGTATGAATACTAAACAATGAACCCGCAAAGATGGAAATATATCTTACTCAGACTAAATAATTAAATAACAAAAGAAAGGAACACGAATGCTTACTTTATAGAAGAAGTTCTCCGAACCCGGAGCAGAGTGTACCGACAGCTCCGGTACTCCTCCCGAATTCCTCCTACAAAGCTACACTTGTCGAGGAAGAAGTCGGATGAGCGCCAAACTGCCGGGCACTCCTCCAGAGCTTCCCCTCACTCTCTACCTTATTCTAATGTATAAAACATATAATAGAGCCTCTTGTAATTCAGCTCAAAGTTGTGTGTCTTGGAATGAGAGTGAGCTCCTCCTTTTATAGGCAGGTATGACGGTTATAGCCTATAGGAAATGACCAAACTACCCCGGAACCGCCATCAGGAAGTAATCAGGGCCGTCCACGTCAAATTTGGCAATCAACGGCCACAAAAAGGGTTCGGTCGAACTGGAGGCTCGGCCGAACCCGGGATGGCTCCGTTCGGCCCGTTTTTCATCGTGGACATTAATTTTGAGGCCCTCAACCCATTGGCATGATAGTTGGGCCCATTTGAAGTTGTTTAATTGACTTATGGGGCTTCCAATCCGTGTAAATGTGTCCTGAATGTGCGAAAGTGCAGTTTGTCGCCTGACGGATGTGTTTTCTTCTCAAAATACCTGCATACACATATTTCACCAACACTAGTGGAAATGATTAGTAATAATACCTACCACTAAGTTGGATACCATGTTTTATTTCATTATATGCAGGTATTGACGGTCAATTATTATGATTTAAGGACCGTCAACAATAACCATTGTACATAAATACAAACATAATCTGCTCTATCATTAATCATAACTCCATGAAAGTTTTTTTTAATCCAGGAAAGCACACGTTTCTCCTATAATTAGACCCTACTACTTAGTTATGCAAATCAATCAAGAGCAACAGTATTTAGAAAGTCAAGCAAACTACTTATTAAAAAAAGATATATGACTGGCAATTAAGGATATTAACAAGAAAAAACAGAGTTTATGTGTTGATGTAATGAGCAAACCTTGCCACAACTTGTCTCTCTGATTAGTAAAAGTGTGTTAACTAGCTTCTTGTATACACGTAGAGATGTTTTCCTAAACAAATTAAGATATGAACAAGTAAATCAATGGTAAAATCAAGAGGACTAAAGCAGAAAATTTGATTTTGCACACTCGATCTATATATTGGTCTGCAGAGAAGTTGTCTGTTTTATTTAAATTCGTTATGTTTGTTATTTTCTAGCCTTCATATTCACAAACGCAAATTTTAGCGTAGTGTACAAAAACTAGCTTCTGAATTTTCAGAAGTGTTTATTGGACTGAAATATTTTGATATGCAGATTATAGGTAGTTAATTCAATTTACTAATAAGGGTTGTCATCCGATACGGCCACTGTAACTCATATATCAAAGATTCTTATTAGCATGTACTATTGGTTCCTCTATTTCATAAACAATTAACAGTAAGAATTGACAGTGGTTATGTGTTATGGAAATTCATATGATCAACTAAATTTTGGCAGTGGCCTACTAAAATCACTCCTCCAAAACTATCAACAGTAATATACATGTCAAAGCAAATTATATCTACAATCCTGCAATTCAATGGTCAGTTTTCTCGATTGTCTGACAAAACCAATTTCTGACATGATTAACCTTCCTGTGTGCACTGCTCACAAAGATTAGCATGAAGAAATCATAATTCCGGAAACAAAATTCCAAAATATCACAACAATTATATATTGTGGCGATATGTTATCATTAAATACCACAAAAAATAAAATTGTGGTAACAAAGTAACTAATTGCAATAATTTATATATAGCTGTAATATTTGCTGTGCAATAGTTAATTTTTCCTGTAGTGTGATTGCCCTAATAAGGCAAAGCAAAAGCCAAAATTTAATTTTTCAAACTTAATTTTGAAGTTGCTTTAAGATATTTTCAACGTAGTTTCTTTTTTATATTGACTTTTAAGTCGCTACGAACACATATATAAAAATTTTTACCTACAAATTAATTTTTATTCCTTAATAAGCTGTTTTAGCTTATTAAAAAATATGGACAAATGGCGAGGACCTAAATGTTAGAGTTATACTAATATAATGTCAGATCAAGTGGGAAGGACGCCCCCCTTGACTTACCTTTGAAGAAGGGATGACCCACTAAAACGTTATTATGTAGAGAGGTGGGCATAAATATGATGCGGTTAAGGCCATCTCTAACCCTCCATATCATCTAGTGTTCATAACATTAAATACATTGCCACGTAAGCAAAAATTCTTATGTGACAAGAGAGTTAATGAGAAGATAGGTAAAAAGATGATGAAATTATTTCTCATGCAAAAAAATCATCTCTATACAAGAATCAAGAATGAAAACAAGGGTATAGGTGGATAAAAGGAGAGAGAAGAGATGTGATTGGATGAGAATTTAATTTGAAGACATCACCCATTGAATATATAGTTTCTATACATAGTGTCTATATGACATGGCAAGTATGGAAACTATTCGATAGTTTATGGGTTGGGGATGGCCTAACTGAAAAGTATCTAACTATGATTTATTACCACTAAAAGTACAAATACACAAATGTATGAATAAAATCACAAGTATGAAGAAAACGTATAAATCAAAGTAGCATATCTAGTTAAATCCTTACGCATTCACATTCTAAAACACATATTATTTGGATTGGATAATTTCGTAGGACAAGCATAGGATTTTGGGAGTTCGCCATGAGGTCTAATCCCTTATCACAAATTATCCGAAATTTCTTTGAATTAAGCAATTTCACATAAATTTTGTGGAAATACCAAATGCCCATTTATTGTTTCAAAGGAGCACAAAAAATTTTAGTTCTAAATACTACTTTAATATTTTTTAATATTTTTTAGTTTGTTCCAAATTAACCTTAAACGTTCTATAAGAATATTAGTTTTTTTTGGGAAGTTCTCTTTAATTTTTGATATGCTCTAGTAGTTTGGACGACTAAAATAATAAAAGAAAAAGAGAACTGACCTACGCGTTAGGTGAGTTAGCAGCCAACATGTCTTCTAAGATCGCAACTCTTTTAGAACTTACTCCCTCCGTCCTAAAATAAGTACAGTTTTGCAATGTTTATGTCCAACTTTCGATTGTTCATCTTATTTGAAAATTTTTTATGATTAGTATTTTTATTGTTATTAGATAATAAAATATAAATATTATTTTATGTGTGATTAATTTTTTTCATAATATTTTTAAAATAAGACGGACAATCAAACGTTGGATACGGATACCCATAGCTGCACTTATTTTGGGATGGAGATATTACTTCATTGGTTGAGGTTTTTCAGCTCTCTTGTTTTCCACGCGTATATGCTTCCTAAACTGCTAAATAGAATTTATTTTTTGCAAAAAATAGTTCTATAGGAAAGTTGCTTTAAAAGAACGTATTAATTCATTTTTCAAATTTGTTTTAACTAATACTTAATTCATCCCACGTTAATAAGCTACACCGTTTTCTGTGCAAAGGGAGATAGTTCTGAGCTATAAGATTTGTCGAGGAGTGATCCTCTCTAGCGGGAGATCGTGAGACCCCCCTTTCGTGAGTTCGGCCGGGGGAAAAAGCTCGCCTCTAGAAATCACGTATCCGTTCCCAAGGCTCCTAGCTAGCTCGCACACCACCAAATTATACAGATTCAGGCCGCTATGAAGCGTAATACCCTACTTCTGTTAATGGGATTTAGACTGAGAGTTACAAGGGTTCCTAAACTCGGGAGAACACTCTTCATTCCCTCCTCCACGAGCTTAGGTTTTCTAAGAGTCGTCCCCTTTCTCGGTGGGCAAGGTCTTCCTTTTATACCTCAAGGGAATACCACATGCACCGCCTCTACCTACTCTTCTTTCGGGTGGGGACCCACCCTATCTTGACCGGAACTCGATCCGTGCCTTCGCCTGGAAGCTAAACCACAGCTTGTCCTTGAGCGGGGCCCAGCGCCGTCCCTCGCCTGACACGGGGGACAGCCCTGTCATTCCCTCATTAATGGGTGAAGACTTGTGGTGGCCGCCGTCCGAATGATCCTCCGATGGGACGGGTCATACCTACCTCCACTCTGCCGGAAGCAGATGCGACGTGGGAGCACGGTTGTCTGTCCAGTCACAGACCGGTCATTCTTGACCATCGCGCGTTAGTTTAGCACGCCACACGTCTGCCCCACTGCATTAAATACGACAGGGGGCAGTTGGGGCGCTGCGCACATTAAAGGAGGTTCAGCCTGGCCCCCCTCCTCGCTCGCTCCCCCCGCCAAATGGCGGCGGGCAAAGCGGTGCAAGGGCCCGAGGGGCATGACGTGGCACCCCGAGGCCCCGACCCCCCCGGCCGCTCCTGCGGTTCGCGGAATGCGGGGGCAGGACCAGACAGTAGGGACACGTGGCAGGATGGGAAGGCAGATTCCCCTCATTTCGCATACCCCCGGGCCCATATCTCCGACAAGATTCAAACTTAACCTCTTATAAAAGCGTGGGTTGAACGGGTGCGCATGTGGTAATCCATAAGTGTGAGATGAGTTTGTCCGCGCTATTAGTTATACCTTCTGAAATAATATAAGAAAAAATGACCACAAATGAATAAGGGTGTGTTCTTTTCCCATGAGTTCCCAACTCATCTCTTTTGTTTTCCGCACGCATGCCTTTCAAAGTGCTAAACAGTACGTGTTTTGTAAAAAAATTATATACAAAAGTTGCTTTAAAAAATCATATTAATCCATTTTTAAGTTTTTTATAGCTAATACTTAATTAATTATGTGTTAATCTATCGCTCCGTTTTATGTGCGGAGGAGAGGGTTCCCAATAGCCTAATAGCATGAAAAGCATTTCTGAAATAACTAGTAATTATGCAATGCACGTATTTGTCACGTATGTATACCAAATAAGTAGAGGCGATCAATAGTATGTCTCCAATTTTGATAAAATGTTCGGTTAGCATGGGAAAGCTAAGTTCGAAGTTTGGCTGATGGTAGTATAGTAGCACTCGATTGCTTCAAATCTACACGTAACACATTTCAGCTCGCTTTAATAAGGATGAACATGGTGAACACTTACTCAATATCACCTTTCTTGTTGGCGGCAGAATGTGATTTATGATGTGGGCCTTTTTTCGGAGAATGACCCGTTTGCTTTAAAACTAAAGACTTTTTAACTTGCCATAGGTTACTTATGAAGCAGAGTCAGGATTGTACCATATATAAGTTTCACATTTATTATTACTTCAAACAATAATGTACTTTTCTTGCAATATGTAAGATCGTATTTAGTAGCCATCATACGTAAGATCAGCATATCAAATGATTGCCCAAGGATAATAAAAAAAATAATCAAAATGCCAAGAATGTCTTGTGACATTCCTCTTACTCCCCGCAAAAAAAAAAAAAAAAAACATTCCTCTTACTCAGTGAACATAATTCAATAAACAACAAAAGTTTTGTTATACATTTACTGATGGCAGTGCATGTCAAGTCAAATTAACATGGAGGAAATAAACTTATCCCTCTTGTACCTGCTGAGAGGTGTTAACCTACAGTTCCGAAAAATAGATCCATTGAACTATACAAATTTCTAGGATTCAAAATTTATCCCAAAACAGTTGTAACTCTAGAGTTCTACTAATTGCCCCATCAATCATTTCATTTAAATTTCTCTATTTTACCCTTAACCACCCTCTCACTTTCATCTATACACCATTTAATGAGGGGCACCATAGTCTTTTTCTCAAACCTTAATGAGTATATGCTAAACAACCTAGAATTACAATTATTTTGAGACAGATGATGTAGATAGTAATAGTAGCAGAGCAAAAAAAAAAAAAAAGGACATTCAACTTATTATTAAATACCAAGGCGCCATGCCATGGCAAAAGCTTAACTTTTGGATCTGGGTAACCAACCACTCATTCTTATCCAACTCATATTCTTGTCCACATGCTTATACTTGGCTCTACACGTAGGTTTAGCTATCTGAAAATATAAACAACCTGAAGTGAGCTAAATAAAAATAGCATTTTTTTTTAGAAACAGATGAAAACATACAGATTTGAGCTAACAAAACAATATGACAAGTCATCACCAGGAGTTTAGCAAAAAGAAAGTTCAATTCTGCACTTCTGTGCTGATTTTTAACATACTTTCCTGGAAATTTAGAAAAGAATTATATTTTTCAGCACCAAATAAAATCAATTATCTGCAATGATAAAAGTAACTAACCAAGCCAGAAGAGAGAAGTATTCTTTTATCACAAGGGCATCATCATTTTTTTGAGATAGAAGGGCATCATCTTTTTTGAAATAGTGACAAGCATGATCAGTGCCACTGACTCCGTAGGTTTTGATTTTGAGTAGAGCAAGTGCAGATAAGTCATAAGTCTCCCAAATAATAAATGAAATCAGAAGTTACAAAATATAGCACTAAGAGTGATATGCAACCAGAAAAAAAATCAATTATTATGAATTAGGAAAGATCTGCACAAGTCTACAAAGCTAACCAGAAATAGTGTATATCATACATAATTGATCATGTTGGCAGAAAAATGACGGTCAGAGCTACTATACATAAATAAAACACAAAATCGTTAATTAGTTTACCATAGTAAAGGTAGAAGAAGAGAGAAAGATGAAGGTTTACCTGGTAGCAATTTTGCCTAGACACCATTGAACACCATTAAAACCAAGTTTGAGGTCCTCTGCAACTGGTATATTTGAGAATAATTTTTATCTGCACTGCAAAAAGCCACAAACCCATATATGTTAAACTGATGTACACTGTTACGTGTATATATCACATATATTTTTTTTAACACAAAATATGAGTATCACAATCTTTTTTTAAAAAATATTGACCTGAGAAGGACTGCACAATTTTTTTTAACTCAGATCTCTATTATGTATGCATTGCTTTGACCGATTTGAAGGCGATATTTATATATGAGAAACAAAACATTAGGAGCCCGGTATATTTTTATGTCTAGAACAAATTGTATGAACTGAAAAATTTGAAAAGACATTTACCGAGTAATAAAAAAGCCAGGACCTATGCTGTCGGGCACTGGATGAGCTGCAGCCATTACCTACGACTCCACATGGTTGCGCACAATCTAGGAGGTACTCTAAAAGAACCATTTTACTTGATTAGTCAATAGGTAAGCATCAAAATCTGATAAAGTTACAACCAAAGCTGATGGTTTCTTGTAAAGTAAACTGATTTACCTAGTTCCTGAAGCAAAAGCAAGGCGCACACGCACGCGCGCCCGCCCGCACACACACATATATATATATATATATCCAGACTTTCTTAAAAGACATAATGCAATGCTCGATGTAAGAGAAGGGGCAACAGAGAATAGTATGTATATAAGAGAAAGACAGACAATATTGTTAGCTTGTAGAATTTGTATAGTACCACAGCCTATAATACTCAGATACATGACAGAAGTGAAAAAGTATGATTGCATTTGAGTTTCAGTCTTCCAGGCCTATGAGAACAAAACAAAAGAGAAGAAATGTACTGAATAGAGCGACATCTCCAATATTAACATAAGCAAATCTAATATTATGAGAGAAAGAGGTAGATGGTTCACATGCCCTTCAATATACTGCATTTTGCAAGACCATCTGCTCCAGTATGTGTGACAAGCATCTGCCCTTGAGAATTTTGTAGACCTATGTGAAAAAAAAAATCCATTCTACACAGTATCAATTCCCGTCAGAAGTTACAAAATGAGTCTATGTTTCAGTAGTAATTCAAATGTTTGCTGACCTCACTCCATAGTTCCAAGAAGTCAAGTAGTCAAGAAAATAAGGCTTCATCTGAAATACCATCCTATATACCATTTCAATAGAATAACATGTTTACACCCATGAGAGAAATCTATAATAGAAATATAGGTGGAACCATGGTAGAACTTAGTATCCCGTTTTCTTACTGTTTAGTGAGAGAATCATGGAAGATGGATCGGAAAACCTCAAGTGACCAGCAATCTGGTATCTCCTAGCATGGAAACCATCCATCATATCATCAAGTAGTACCACACACATAGACTTGAGAGTAACTTGAGACAACATGCATATACGACCAAACATAAGCCAATTAGTATCATCATGAGTAGAATAAAATTGTTCAAAATAGAAAGGGATGAGCTGATAGATTGAGCAGCATTACCCATTCTATACGCGAACCAAGCACGCAAGCAAGGAGGAAGTCATCTTCAGTAATCCCAAATCGTTGTTTCAACAGGACAATGGCACTTAACTGTCGATCACTCAAAATCCTCTATTCAACTTTCCTTTATTAAGAGAAATAGATAAACTATATGAGTGGTTTCATTAAGGATAGCAAACTAAATTAGTGCCCAATCAAAATGAATAAAGCATCCTACACATGACAAAAGAATAGTGAGAATACATGACAAAAGAACAATGAGAAGCCACTCAATTTCTCCACGCTATCGCTGCTACGGTACGACATGGACGAATTTTACCATTGATGAGAGAGATTATGTGAATTGGAAACTTACAGATTGAGGCGCTTGGATTTCTTGCAGCTACAGCTGTAGCTGTGCACCCTTTCACCTTCTCCGCCTTGCAGAAAGGGAGAAAAAAAAAAAGCCATCGACGCGCTGTGGAGAGGGATCCAGTTGCGCCGAAGGTGTGATCATCGCCGACAAACGGTGGGAGAAGAGTGAAGGGGCGGCGGCGCCGACGACCTGATGGTGCTGCAATGAAGGGATCATTGACGACCTGACAGCGGCGTAGTGGAGAGGGCCGGATTCCGGATCCGGTGGAGGCGAGGTGGAGAAGGGGGCGCGGGCGTTGGGTATCTGAGGCGAGGCGGCACGGTTAGGGTTTGGGGGGAACGTGTGATTCGTGAATGCGGGGAGGAAGGGGGGAAGACGCGACCGAGGGGAGGTGGAGGATGCGATGGGAGGTAGGTGAATCCGGAGCGTTGGATGTGATTTGGCCGGTAGGATTGGAGGGGTGCAACTCCTCCTTTTTATATTAGTATAGATAGATATAGATATAGATATCTATAACTAATATAAATATTCATATTTTTCCGGTCGTCACATCTAATTTTCGTCTGTTTTTCATCCATACACAATCCGATTCGGTTAGCAATAGCCATGGAAAAAATTACAAAAAAAAAAAAACGGCGGCCGCCGACGCCCGCCTCCACGCCGTCCGGGCCGTCGCCCCTCCCGCTCCGCTGGGACCACCACCGCCGCACCTCCCCTCCCCCCGAACTAGCGGAGGGGAGGGCGTCGCCGGCCCTCCTGCCGCCGCAACACAGAGAGAAAGGGGGAGAAGTGGAGAGAGGGGGGGAGGGGCGTCGCGCTGTGGGGAGGGCGCTGCCGCCGCCGCCGCCACCGCCGCCGCTGCTCGGTGCGGGGGAGGCACCGCTGCCGCCGCTCGTCGTGGGGGAGGCGCCGCCGCCGCCGCTCGCCATGGGGGAAGGCGGCGCCGCCGCCACACCCCACCGTCGCCGCGCCGTGCCAGCGAGAAGGGAGGGACGGCGCCGGTGGCGGGGGAGTCGGCCGGCTGGGGGGAGGGGGAGGGGGAGAGGCGCCGGTAGGGAGAGGGAGAGGGGGAGGAGGAAGCGGCCGGCTCGGCTCGGCTGGGGGGAGGGTGAGGGGAGGGTTAGGGTTAGGGTTAGGTTTTCATCAATTTTAAATTGATCTGAGGCGTCCATCAATACAAACGGCTGAGATCGATCGAGGGTTTGGGCTGCACCACTTGGGCCGCACGTGGGCCGGCGATCCACTAAGCGAGAGAGGAGGAGTATGGGGGTATGGGGTATTAAGTAGACTTTGCTCTCTTGCGGGCTGAAAAAGGCCCATAGAGAAAAAAAGGATTTTTATTTAGATTTTTATTTCAATAAATGCTGAAATGATATTTGTATTATCAAAATTAGCAATTAAGCTATGTAAATTCCAAGAAAATTTCAATGAGTGTAATTAATATAGAAAATTTAATAACAGTTAAATCCAACCATAACATTTTATTTCTTACCCTTACTTTACTTATAAATTAATTTAATTATATACATACCTACTTAAAAAATACCAAATATTAGAATTTAATTAGAATTTAATATGTTTTAATTTAATTTTATCTGTTTTTTCTTTTCGTTGCAATGCAATACCACTTTTGCTATAATTTAAAAGAGTGTAATTAATATTGCAGAAAATTTTATATTTCATTAAATTATAATTCATTTTCTTCATAAAAATAGTTCAAATCAAATTTCAGTCACCATATCATTACCCGGTGCAACGCAAGGGTATTTTGCTAGTAAGAATATATTATAGAAGTATAGATTTTTATATTAGTATAGATAAGAAAGAAATGAAAAGAAAAAGGAAAACGAGAAGAAAATCTTACGAGGCGAATTCCGAAAGCGGTTTCTACAGCTCCACCTTCCCTTGTCTTGCCTCCGCCACGAGAGAGAGAGAGAGGCGAGATGGCGCTGCGAGCCCACCCGCTGCTCTCTTCCTCCTCCTTGCCGCCTCCGACCCTTCCAATCCTCTGCCTCCGCTGTCCTGGATCTTCCCTCTCCTCCAAACGCTTCCTCCGTTCCCACTCCCGCTCCGCAATCCGGCCGTGGCGAAACCCCTGCGCCGCCCGTCCCGGCGGACCTCGTTTCTTGGGGCAAGATGACGCCGACTCCGACGCCGACGAGGAGGACGAGGAGGAGTGGAGATGGGCACCATCTGCCGGCCCCTCCGGAGCTCACCTCGTCGGCGCGGTGGACGAAGACGATAGTGTTGGCGAGGGCGGGGGCGGCGTCGGGTGGGGCGCACCCGATGGCGACGCTGCCGGGGGATCGGGGATTCGAGAATCCGGTGTGGACGACGGCGGGCAGGTGGGCGAGTGGGACCTCCCTATGAGCTCCTTTCGGGGGCGGGTTCAGGTACAGCATCACCAAGAAGAGGAGGAGGAGGAGGAGGAGGAGGAGGAAGACGAAGATGGAGGTGGCTGCGAATGGTCGGACCCGGGTTTCTTCTTGCGAGGCCAAGAGGAGGAGGCCAGCAGCAGCGTGAGCACCACCACGGCCATGGAAGAGATTCTCACCTTGGCGAGGAGCCCCGCGGTCGACGGGCAGGCGTTTGCCGAGTTCTTGGCGGGGTACGGCCGCGGAGCACTCAGTGTGGAGGAATGCGTTGAGCTGATGAGGAGGATGGGGGAGGAGGGGCTGGCATTGGGGTGTCTCCACCTTCTCCGATGGATGCAGGCTCCGGAGGAGGAGCCATTGTTGTTGCCCCCGCAGGCATGGCTGCTCGCTGTTGTGGCGCTTGGACGGGCTCAGATGGCCGATGAGGTGCTGGAGATTGTGGAGAGTTTGCCTCCCGAGAGGAGATTCAGTGAGGCTGTCCTTTACAATGCTGCAATGTCAGGCCTAGCCTATCGCGGAAGGTGAACACCATCCTCTTTTGTTCTCTTAATAGTTTGATTTGCTCTGCTATTTCTGAATGGTATGTTGATGAACTTCTTATGATAATGAGATCTAGACAGTGCGAAACTGTGAGGAACATGGAACATATGTTGTTTGGTGGCAGTTGAAAAGATATTAGTCTTGTTTGAAAATTCTTAATACACAGCTGCATTGATTACTAAACATAAGGACAATTTCATACCAGTGAGTGAGCTGCATTCTAACCGTAAATTTTCTAATTTATGTACTCATTCCAATGAGCATTTTTTTCAATTCTTTCAGATATGATGATACCTGGAAAGTATTTAAGCTCATGGAAAAGAAAAATATCCAGCCTGACCACATGACATCCTTAATCATGTTAGATGTAATGAACAAGAGCAAGACATCTGCCAAGGATGCATGGGAATTCTTCCAACGGATGGAAAGAAAAGGTGTCAAGTGGAGCTTGGACATTTGTATTTCTCTTATCAAGATCTTTTGTGACAACGGTCTGAAAACTGAAGCTCTTATCATACAGTCAGCAATGGAGAAGAAAGGAATTGCATCAAACACGAGCATGTATAACACATTAATAAATGCTTACTGCAAAGCCAATCAAATTGAAGAGGCAGAGGGAGTTTTCGTTGAGATGAAAGAGAAAGGCTTGAGTGCGACAGCAATGACCTATAATATCCTTATGGGTGCTTACTGTAGAAGATTGCAGCCAGAAGTTGTTGAGTCTTTACTGCTGGAGATGCAAGATTTAGGACTACGACCAAATGCGAGATCATACAACTTTCTCATACGTGTTTATGGGCAACAGAAGAAAATGAGTGAAAAGGCTGAAGATGCTTTCTTAAGGATGAAGACAGATGGCATTATGCCAACGTCTTCTACATACACTTCACTGCTTTGTGCATATGCAGTTAATGGATTGCATGAAAAGGCTTATTTGACTTATGTGGATATGAAAAGAGAAGGACTTAAGCCTTCCTTAGAAACATATACAGCATTGATTGACATGTTTAGGAGGGCTGGTGACACGGAGAAGCTAATGGAGACATGGAGATCAATGATCAATGAAAAGGTTCCTGGAACTAGGGTAATATTCCACATGGTGCTTGATGGTCTGGCAAAACATGGGCTGTATGTTCAGGCAACGGATGTTATATATGAGTTTAGAAGGGCTGGTTTGCAGCCTACCGTAATGACATACAACATTTTGATGAATGCTTTTGCAAGGGGAGGACAACATTATAAATTACCCCAACTCTTGAAAGAGATGGCTGCTATGGAATTAAAACCAGATTCTGTAACATACTCTACAATGATTTATGCGTATGCCCGTGTTCGTGACTTTTCGAGAGCATTCTATTACCACAAGCTGATGGTTCGAAGTGGACAATTGCCTGATGTTAGTTCATATAAAAAGTTATTGAATACATTGGATGTGAAAGCTGCAAGAAAGAACATAAAGGATAAGAATGCCATAGTGGGAATCTTAAAAGGAAAGTCCAGCCTAAAACATAGGAAGGAGAAGAAGGATGAGTTTTGGAAGAACAGAAAAAAACGTTCTATGATGAACCATGTCTATGGGTACCCAAGGAAAAGATTTTTGTGATGCTTTTCTTATGTGTACATTAGACCATACCTTGTATTCTGGATGTTCATCCCTTATCCATTACAGCAGCATATAAAATGAACTTTCAGGAAGTTCATGGTGTTCATATTTTAATTCTCTTAAAGCATTCAAGTCAAAAATACGGTTAAAGTATCATATTCAAATGTATGCAATAATGATCTAGATTGTTATGCCTGTATCAAATTACCGATCTAGGGCTTGATACAGTTTAGACATGTCAGTTACTGAATCTTAAATTTGGGACCCGATACGAGCCCGATCAGTTTCAAAGGTAGGGACGAAATCTGCAGTGTGGTGCGTTTGATTAGGGGAAGTTATGTGAAGGAAGGATCCTGTCATGATTTTTCCCTTCGTACGACTTCCCCCCTTGCAATACTATGGTAGTACTTCGGGCCATGGCAACATGTGCGGAATTGTGTCTTGTGGGTACAGTTGTGCATCTCTGGCTAAAGTAAAACTATTCGAATAGCTGCGCCGGTAATTATTAGTGATCAACCAGTTTCTCCGTGATTAATCTCACTCCTTTAATTAATTTGACTTAATGAACTAGCGCAGTTCAAGTGGTTTGGTTGGGCTTGTTCAACGTGGTGCAGCGTTATTTAGTGGAGATTTAATCTTGCCTTAATTAATCAATTGTTTTACTGTTGTAAACTATAAATGTTTACTACTGTCTTTATCCAAATAGCCACAAACCTTACTTTGTCTCCCCTTGCACGTTTGCACTTTTGGTGTAACTTGTACTTGCCCATGCTATTATTTCCCCTTTTAGAAGTGCAGTGCTTCTGCGTTGAATACGATGTCAGAGAACCAATGTTTATACCCTAGTTGAGTTTTGCCTGTGCATAGAGCTAGAGCCCCGCTAGGACGCCTTTTCTGCTGCTGCTTTCTTTTTAGTGTGAGAACTAAGTTTCTCTTCTGTAAGTATTTATGTTTTATTTACGTTTGGATCTGTATACTAATTTGTCGTGATTTATACACAAAATAGTTTGAAAATTTGATTAAATTTCTAGGCGTGATAGCATAACGGCAACTAGATCGTCAGATCAATACAACACCCGACGGATACAATCTCCGAACATAGGTAGAGTATTACTTCTCGTCGAGAAGACCTGAACCGGTCTAAATACTTGTCTTTTTATTTATCCACTTTAGATCTCGTGCGCTACCTTTTTTTTTTCTTATTGCCGATTTAGAAAGTAGACAAGATAGCTTGTAGTCTAGTGGGTGATGGATCATTGGGGGGGGGGGGGGGGCTAATGGGCGATTGCCCAGTGATCGGATCCGCCCCCCTCCCCCTATAGGCAATACCTCCTCCCACTTCTCCCCTTCCTCCTCCCCTTCTTCTCTTCCTACTACAGTACACCACAATTTTTTTTAAAAAAACAAAAGTTAGAAAAATTTATGTATAGAAATACTATATATAAAAAATTTGAATTCAAATTCAAATTTGTATGTAAACTTTTGACTTATAAACTTTGGATCTATAAACTTTAGGTGTATAAACTTTAGACGTATAGAAATACTATATATAGAAAATATTTTAATTCAAATTCAAATTTGAATCGGATATAATTCAAATTCAAATTTAAAACGGGTATATAAACTTTTGACTTATAAACTTTAGGTTTATAAACTTTAGGTGTATAAACTTTAGATGTATAGAAATACTATATATAAAAAAAATTTGAATTCAAATTCAAATTTAAATCGGATATATAAACTTTTGACTTATAAACTTTTGGTTTAGATGTGTAAACTTTAGATGTATAAATTTACTAAAATAGGAAAGTAATGCGGTGCCAAAAAAGAAAACCAGGTGGAGAGGTGGAGGGAGGGAGGGGGGAGAATCTGATCGCCCTGGACGAGCGAGCGAGCGAGGGGTGATGTGGAAATTGGATTTTCTTTACCGGATTGAGCATGGTTTGACGCCAAGATAGACATTATCCCCCTTTTTTTTCTCTATTTTTTTGTAAATAATGTACTTTGCTTTTCTATGTATAATAATAATGTAACACCGGCTTAGGCTATCTTGGTTTCGGAACAGAATGTACTCTTTTTTTTGTCTGTAGTTACGCCTTGATGGATGAATATTTGCATTTTTTTTTCATTTCCTTTTACCGAGACTCATTTTATTTATGAATTCTAATGTAATTTTGATGATTTATTTATCAAATATGTGCCACAGTGATAACGGGCAATTTTTCTTAAAGGAAAGTAGTAAATTACAAAAGGCTGGAGAAATTTCAACATAATAATTTTGAGAAAAAATTAAAGCAGTTTTACTCATAGCAGGTAAGTGTACCATTTGTAAATCTAATTTGTGCCAACCTAGCCCAAATGCTACAAGCAATCCCAATGCGCACACGAGGACAGTGAGCACTGCAGTCAATGAGCCTTGGTGGAGTCTATGTGAGACTTCTGATTCACCAAATCAGGTTCATTTCTGCAATTTAACATTGGTGTTGATGCTGTGGACTGATGCAAGCGAAATATTTTTGTCTATTTCGTTTTGCGGTCTCATCGGCTCGCTGTTACAGAGGCAGATTTTCAGCAAAAGCCCATAGGTTTGCTTAGGGTATTCACAATGCACTGCACTGAGGTGTCATTCAACTTCAACTGGCTAACTCATAGATTCCCCTCCACCTCAGCACATTTGGTTCCTTCACCAAGAACGGGTAGCCAAACTTTGCTACTCGTTCCTCATCAAAAGCACTGCTGGCCGGCACCGGCGATGACGACGCAGCCACCGCGGACGAGGATCGGAAGGGGTGAAGAAGGGGGGAGGGGGAGAGGGGAGCTCAAGGTCGATCCGTGCCGCCGCTTGGGCCACGTTGCCGCCACCGTCGTTGGGGGTGGAGGAGAGGGTGCCGACGCTGCTCCGCTCGACCGGCGCCACTCCACTTGGCATCGCTCGCCACCAGGACCACCGCACTCCGCTCGGCGCTGCTCGCGACTACGACTGCCGCCGCCGCTCGTGACCACGACCGCCGCCGCCGCTCGTCGGAGGAGGAGATGAGGGGCGTCGACCGGAGCCGGAAGAAGAGGGAAGTTGGGGAATGAAAGTTCAAGTACCATTAATTTGGTTTTGGTGATTAATGATAAATCCAATTATATGACACTAATGTTTTGATAATCATTTCTTTGCCTAATCTCATGTGGATATGAAAGTGGAATATGTGAGAGGTGATTTCCGGACTTCATATGAGTGGAGAGGGAAACATTCATTGATGGTGTACCTAAATCACAATGATGAAATGTATGGAGATCAAGCTATATATGACACTCTTTCTCTCCGTGCACATATTGATATATATATATATATATATATATATATATATATATATATATATATATATATAGTAAATTTGTTTGGTGCTCCATGGTGCCCGGGCACCATTGTTGAAATTGAGTATATATGAAACTTTTTCAATTACTTAGATATTAACATTAGCTACTTTACTAACTAGTTCAAAGCAAGTTTGAACTGAATTTGAACTTGTTTTTGTTAGATTTTGATTCTAGGTATATAGCATCCATACATATAATTAGTTAGGTATGTAATCATGGATTGTGAAATAAAGTTAAATTTGAGTTGTTTTGTTGATAGGTATAGGTATGAATCGAGTTATTATAACTAGGTATATACTCACAATTTGAAAATTTTGAAAAATTTGAGTGATTTTGTGTATTTGATACCATGGTGCCCCATATGAGTGTCCTATATATATATATATGTGTGTGTGTGTGTATGTATGTATGTGTGTGTATGTGTATACATATATGTGTATATACATATATATGTATGTGTATACATATACATATATACATATATATATATATATATACATATATATACATATACATATATATATGTATATATACATATACATATATATGTATATATGTATATATACATATATATATATATGTATATATACATATACATATACATATATATATGTATATGTACATATACATATGTATATATACATATACATATACATATCCATAACCATGAGTTCCAGTGCACTAGATCTTGTAGCACTTAGCAACGAGGCCCTATGAATAGACATATAGAATTTTTGGTCGGGAAATTCGAATGAATCATTGAGTGAAAAAGGAGCAAAGAATGACAAAAGACGAGACTCTACTAGTCTTCACTCTTGTGGTTTCCTCGGTTTCTGTTTTCTTATTCGGGATCTTGCTTTTCATGGTTCTCATCTCTGCAACTCGCGATTTTCGCGAGAGAACCAAATCTAAGTTGGTGAAGATCATGATTTGGGCTGGCATAGTAGTGATTACCTTTGCAATTGCGGTTCGAATCTATCCGATCTTTATCTTTTTGCTCAAAGAACGAATAAAACCCCTTGTCGAAGCCCTTTATGATAAGCTTCCCTGGATCTGGGAAGTTTCTCTTTCATGGTATTGGGATCGTTTGATCGATTTCCTTGATCGCTACTTATGGGCGTGCGCTCAAAGGATACAAACAGGGATTCGCAAACAAAAAGGGGAATTCGTAGTCACTTTTTCCTGTCGCGTAAAAAAAAGGCTTTACGCGAGAGCAATAGAGGTTGGGATACATCTATCTCTTCTGAGCAACCTCTTTTGGATTCTTAAGACCACCCTTGCAGTAGGATACCGTCTGCTTTGGGTTCTTTATTATATTATCTCCTTCGAGGGATTTTTAGGATCGTTCAGGCTATATTTAGTCTATTTTGGCTTTTACTGTCTCCTTTTCTCAGGGAAGTGGTTAAGGACCTCAGAAGATAGAGGAGAGCGCCAGGCGCAGATTTCCGGAATACTTCTACGGGGAATGCTCATTGAATGCGCATTCTCCGTATTATGCCTTGAAGAGGACTCGAACCTCCACGCTCTTTAGCACGAGATTTTGAGTCTCGCGTGTCTACCATTTCACCATCAAGGCATCTTGAAAGTGAATCATATTCCATGAATATGATATCTATCTAATGTGATATCTTGAAAGTGAATCGTATTCCATGAATATGATATCTATCTAATGTGATATATAGAATATATGACAAAGGTGGAGTCTTGGAGTATTTCGATCGATCGGTCATATAGGCCTGAGTCAGACATCAAATAGCTTCGATTTGCATTATCCGTAGGACACCTTA